CTCAGTTCTTGGGTTTCCCTCTCAGTTTCTCGGGTTTTCCTTCTCAGTTTCTTGGGTTTCAGGCTCAGTTTCTTGGGTTTCACTCTCAGTTTCAAAGATTTCCAGCTCAGTTTCTTGGGTTTCACTCTCAGTTTCTTGGGTTTCCCTCTCAGGTTCTTGGGTTTCACTCTCAGTTTCAAAGATTTCCAGCTAAGTTTCTTGGGTTAAACTCTCAGTTTCTTGGGTTTCCAGCTCAGTTTCTTGGGGTTCCCTCAGTTTCTTGGGTTTAACCTCAGTTTCTTGGGTTTCACTCTCAGTTTCTTGGGTATAACCTCTGTTTCTTGGGTTTCACTCTCAGTTTCTTGGGTTTCACTCTCAGTTTCTTGGGTTTAACCTCAGTTTCTCGGGTTTCACTCTCAGTTTCTTGGGTTTCACTCTCAGTTTCTTGGGTTTAACCTCAGTTTCTCGGGTTTCACTCTCAGTTTCTCGGGTTTCACTCTCAGTTTCAAAGATTTCGAGCTCAGTTTCTTGGGTTTCCCACTCAGTTTCTTGGGTTTCCATCTCAGTTTCTTGGGTTTCCCTCTCAGTTTCTCGGGTTTCCTTCTCAGTTTCTTGGGTTTCAGGCTCAGTTTCTTGGGTTTCACTCTCAGTTTCAAAGATTTCCAGCTCAGTTTCTTGGGTTTCACTTTCAGTTTCAAAGATTTCCAGCTCAGTTTCTTGGGTTTCCCACTCAGTTTCTTGGGTTTCCATCTCAGTTTCTGGGGTTTCCCTCTCAGTTTCTTGGGTTTCCTTCTCAGTTTCTTGGGTTTCAGGCTCAGTTTCTTGGGTTTCACTCTCAGTTTCAAAGATTTCCAGCTCAGTTTCTTGGGTTTCACTCTCAGTTTCTTGGGTTTCACTCTCAGTTTCTTGGGTTTCACTCTCAGTTTCTTGGGTTTCACTCTCAATTTCTTGGGTTTCACTCTCAATTTCTTGGGTTTCCCTCAGTTTCTCGGGTTTCACTCTCAGTTTCTTGCGTTTCAAGCTCAGTTTCTTGGGTTTCACTCTCAGTTTATTGGGTTTCCCTCAGTTTCTCGGGTTTCACTCTCAGTTTCTTGGGTTTAACCTCAGTTTCTTGGGTTTCACTCTCAGTTTCTTGGGTTTCACTCTCAGTTTCTTGGGTATAACCTCAGTTTCTCGAGCTTCACTCTCAGTTTCTCGGGTTTCACTCTCAGTTTCTTGGGTTTCACTCTCAGTTTCTTGGTTTAACCTCAGTTTCTCGGGTTTCACTCTCAGTTTCTCGGGTTTCACTCTCAGTTTCAAAGATTTCCAGCTCAGTTTCGTGGGTTTCCCACTCAGTTTCTTGGGTTTCCATCTCAGTTTCTTGGGTTTCCCTCTCAGTTTCTCGGGTTTTCCTCTCAGTTTCTTGGGTTTCCCTCTCAGTTTCTTGGGTTTAAATCTCAATTTCTTAGGTTTCCAGCTCAGTTTCTTGGGGTTCCCTCTCAGTTTCTTGGGTTTCCCTCAGTTTCTTGGGTTTCCCTCTCAGTTTTTTGGGTTTCAAGCTCATTTTCTTGGGTTTAACCTCAGTTTCTTGGGTTTCACTCTCAGTTTCTTGTGTTTCAATCTCAGTTTCTTGGGTTTAACCTCAGTTCCTTGGGTTTCACTCTCAGTTTCTTGGGTTTCCCTCGATTTCTCGGGTTTCACTCTCAGTTTCCAAGATTTCCAGCTCAGTTTCTTGGGTTTCATTCTCAGTTTCTTGGGATTCACTCTCAGTTTCAAAGATTTCCAACTCAGTTTCTTGGGTTTCACTCTCAGTTTGTTGGGTTTCACTCTCAGTTTCTCGGGTTTTCCTCTCAGTTTCTTGGATTTCCCTCAGTTTCTTGGGTTTAAATCTCAGTTTCTTAGGTTTCCAGCTCAGTTTTTTGGGGTTCCCACTCAGATTCTTGGGTTTCCCTCTCAGTTTATGGGGTTTCAAGCTCAGTTTCTTGGGTTTAACTTCAGTTTCTTTGGTTTCACTCTCAGTTTCTTGGGTTTCACTCTCAGTTTCTTGGGTTTCACTCTCAGTTTCTCGGGTTTAATTCTCAGTTTCAAAGATTTCCAGCTCAGTTTCTTGGGTTTCACTCTCAGTTTCTTGGGTTTCACTCTCAGTTTCAAAGATTTCCAGCTCAGTTTCTTGGGTCTCGCTCTCAGTTTCTCGGGTTTTTCTCTCAGTTTCTTGGGTTTCCCTCAGTTTCTTGGGTTTAAATCTCAGTTTCTTAGGTTTCCAGCTCAGTTTCTTGGGGTTCCCACTCAGTTTCTTGGGGTTCCCTCTCAGTTTCTTGGGTTTAACCTCAGTTTCTCGGGTTTCACTCTCAGTTTCAAAGATTTCCAGCTCAGTTTCTTGGGTTTCCCACTCAGTTTCTTGGGTTTCCATCTCAGTTTCTTGGGTTTCCCTCTCAGTTTCTCGGGTTTCCTTCTCAGTTTCTTGGGTTTCAAGTTCAGTTTCTTGGGTTTCACTCTCAGTTTAAAAGATTTCCAGCTCAGTTTCTTGGGTTTCACTCTCAGTTTCTTGGGTTTCCCGCAGTTTCTTGGGTTTCACTCTCAGTTTAAAAGATTTCCAGCTCAGTTTCTTGAGTTTAACTCCAGTTTCTTGGGTTTCCACCTCAGTTTCTTGGGGTTCCCTCAGTTTCTTGGGTTTAACCTCAGTTTCTTGGGTTTCACTCTCAGTTTCTTGGGTTTCCCTCAGTTTCTTGCGTTTCAAGCTCAGTATCTTGGGTTTCACTCTCAGTTTATTGGGTTTCCCTCAGTTTCTTGGGTTTAAATCTCAGTTTCTTAGGTTTCAGCTCAGTTTCTTTGGGTTCCCTCTCAGTTTCTCGGGTTTCACTCTCAGTTTCTTGGGTTTCACTCTCACTTTCTTGGGTTTCACTCTCAGTTTCTTGGGTATAACCTCAGTTTCTCGGGTTTCACTCTCAGTTTCTTGGGTTTCACTCTCAGTTTCTTGGTTTAACCTCAGTTTCTCGGGTTTCACTCTCAGTTTCTCGGGTTTCACTCTCAGTTTCAAAGATTTCCAGCTCAGTTTCTTGGGTTTCCCACTCAGTTTCTTGGGTTTCCATCTCAGTTTCTTGGGTTCCCCTCTCAGTTTCTCGGGTTTTACTCTCAGTGTCTTGGGTTTCCCTCTCAGTTTCTTGGGTTTAAATCTCAGTTTGATTTGTTTCCAGCTCAGTTTCTTGGGGTTCCCACTCAGTTTCTTGGGTTTCCCTCAGTTTCTTGGGTTTCACTCTCAGTTTTTTGGGTTTCACTCTCAGTTTCTTGGGTTTCACTCTCAGTTTCTTAGGTTTCCATGTCAGTTTCTTGGGTTTCCCTCTCAGTTTCTTGGGTTTCCAATTCCGTTTCTTAGGATTCCAGCGCAGTTTCTTAGATTTACCTCTCAGTTTCTTGGGTTTTCATATCAGTTTCTTTGGTTTCATTCTCAGTTTCTTAGGTTTCCCTTACAGTTTCTTAGGTTTCACACTGAGTTTCTTAGGCTTCCCTATTAGTTTCTTAGGTTTCACACTCAGTTTCTTAGGATTCCAACACAGTTTCTTGGGTTTCCAGCTCAGTTTTTTAGTTTTCAAATTCAGTTTCTTTGGGTTCCCTCTCAGTTTCTTGGGTTTCACTCTCAGTTTCTTGTGTTTCACCTCAGTTTCATAGGTTTCCAGCTCTGTTTCTTGGGTTTCACCTCAGTTTCTTGGGTTTCCATCTCAGTTTCTTAGGTTTCCCTTACAGTTTCTTAGGTTTTCACTCTCATTTTCTTGTGTTTACAACTCAGTTTCTTGGGTATCCAACTCAGTTTCTTGGGTTTCACTCTCAGTTTCTTGGGTTTCCCTCCCAGTTTCTTTGGTTTCATTCTCAGTTTCTTGGGTTTCTGTCTCAGTTTCTTGGGTTTTCTCCTCAGTTTCTTGGGTTTCAATTTCAGTTTCATGGTTTTCAAATTCAGTTTCTTGGGTTTCACTCTCAGTTTCTTGGGTTTCCCTCTCAGTTTCTTGGGTTTGAAGCTCAGTTTCTTGTTTTTTACCTCAGTCTCTTAGGTTTCACTCTCAGTTTCTTGGGTTTCACACTCAGTTTCTTGGGTTTTCCTCTCAGTTTCTTGGGTTTCACTCTCAGTTTCTTGGGTTTCCCCCAGTTTCTTGGGTTTAAATCTCAGTTTCTTAGGTTTCCAGCTCAGTTTCTTGCGTTTCAACCTCAGTTTCTTGGGTTTCCATCTCAGTTTCTTGGGTTTCCAATTCCGTTTCTTAGGATTCCAGCGCAGTTTCTTAGATTTACCTCTCAATTTCTTGGGTTTTCATATCAGTTTCTTTGGTTTCATTCTCAGTTTTCTTAGGTTTTCCCTTACAGTTTCTTAGGTTTCACACTGAGTTTCTTAGGCTTCCCTATTAGTTTCTTAGGTTTCACACTCAGTTTCTTAGGATTCCAACACAGTTTCTTGGGTTTCCAGCTCAGTTTTTTAGTTCTCAAATTCAGTTTCTTTGGGTTCCCTCTCAGTTTC